GACTTTTCACCAGGTTTGTACTTGCATGAGCAACACGACGGGTGTCACATGTGGCACAGGATCAGCTTTCCCTTAAAGAGTACCAGAGATCACCCACGGTTTTTGTTTTGCTCACACATTGTTGTTAATATAATGATGTTTTATGCGACTGTCATACAAGTGAGAGATTTAGCTAGCTATAAAACCAGGTTAAATCCAGCATTTCCTACATAAGGAAATGTCTGTACCAAGTCAGGAATATATGCAGTTGTTTTCCGTTCGTTTAATGTGTTTGAGCTTTTGATTTTGCCATTGTTCAGGGACTTTTCGTTTTGAATTTCCTTGGAATTCGGTATTTTTGTTATTTTACTTTTTGGTGGGGTTCGTTTTGCTCAGTCTTTAGTTTTCTATGTTGTGTTTTGCATACTGTGTTGTGTGTCTTTTGATTATTTTCCTTTTTGCCATGGCATTGACAGCTTGTTTTCGACTTTTAAGTTTAAATATCCCTTTTGGTATCTTTCGCCTCTCTTTTTGATCTACCGGAAAAGTATTGACGATTAATTAATTAGCTGAAATCACGAATTTGGTTAATGATATTTTGAAAGGATTACAATATGTTATTATGACAGAAAACTATAAATAGAAATTATTTTTAGATACTTCAAATTCATAAATTCAGAATCTTGTTTTATGCATTTTCAATCCGCGTTCTAAGGCTCATTTAAATAGAAAATTGCATATAGATATAACTATGACAAAACATTGAGCTCTGAGATTAATAAATTATAATTGCTTTAAAATTTATAAATGTAAAAAAATGTCAACAGCTACTTTTCAAAATTATCATCACAAAAAAATTGCATTTCCTTATCATATGCATTCAGAATATGTTTATACATATTTAAAATACAGAAATGCGTTATGTAACTAGTTATGAACTCTTGCTAGGAAATTGTTACGGTTAGCACATTTGAGTTTCTTTCTAATTAATTGTATTATCGGACATTGTTTGGGGAAAATAAGGTTTTGTTTCCTTTTGGTATTTTTGTTAAATAATTAACTTCTGTTTGTTTTCCCATAGTTTTAGTTACGTAGGGAAAGAAAAAGAAAATCCATTTCTTTATGTAACAAGCTGGAGAAAGAGGTTTGAATGTTTTTGTCAGCTATTTTTGCTTCAAATTTTAGAATCTTAATTGAGTCTAATTTTATATCATTGTATTTGTTATTTGTCATTTAGCTTGACAGACTCGCGTTACTGGTTGATTTCTATCACATGAGGGTATATGAAGTACATAGTATATCCATAAGTCTGTGGTATGTGTTGAAAGTAGTTTTCAAAGGTTAATATGAATTGAACTGTTAACCGAGATAATATCTCGCTTTCTTTGTAACAAAATCAAAAACAAGAATGTTGTGGACTGCCATAATAAAAAAAAAAGAAAAAAAAAAGAAAACTCTGAAACAAAAAAAAACAAGATTTTGTATTTTATGAAAAATTCAAAGTTTATTTTATTACGATATGGACAGTCCGAAGGAAAATTGACGAACGTACAGACCGAAATCACAATGCACCAAATAGTCGTAAGTGAATCAAAATGACTAAAAACAAATTGTCAGGTTTACCTTATCATACATGCAAGCTGTTTAAATACTAAAAGTAGTTTTCAAGTTATTCATCATAAACAACTGGCCTGTTGCAAGGTTAAAATTCTGTCCCTATACAATATACCCTAATGCTCCTGTGGGAGTCCAAATTTCCAACCCTTCATCCCGACCGACCCCTTTTACAGGATCCTTCTATTGTGTTCATTGTTTATTTGTTCTCGTTCTGAACATGCATGAAATATTTGCCACTTGACGTTAAGCAATCAACAATAATCAATCTTCATTTTAAAACTTTAAAAAAAGCTTTAACATTTGAACAATGTAAAAATTCTAGGCACTGTAAGCTTAGCTGACACACTTGAGCCTCACATTTAACTAAACAAAATAATGAATGGCAACTAATGCAAGTTTCTTGTGTACAATTTGGAGTTTAGTATGGCGTTCATTATCACTGAACTAGTATATATATTTGTTTAGGGGCCAGCTGAAGGACGCCTCCGGGTGCGGGAATTTCTCGCTGCATTGAAGACCTGTTGGTGGCCTTCTGCTGTTGTCTGTTCTGTGGTCGGGTTGTTGTCTCTTTGACACATTCCCCATTTCCATTCTCAATTTTATGTAGATACCAAATGTAAATTGTGAGTCATAACTTTGAAATATGATGTTGAATTTAATATTTCGAAGAAGGAGGAAATTGTACACCAAGATAAGAGTAAGGAAATGTGGTATGATTGCCAATGAGACAACTATACAAATGAAAAAGATATAAGCAATTTTAGGTCATCGTACGGCCTTTAACATCGAGAAAAACCCATACCGCATAGTCGGCTATAAGAGGACTCAACATGATAAAATGTGAAAATTTCAGAAAAAAATTGATTCTATTCATAATTAAGCTCTGAATTGTAGTGATTTAGCTGATTTTTGAAAGATTTACCACGCTTTACTACCTCAAAATAAAGTGTCCGTTACCATGGCAACCACTCATATTTTCCCACTCAAATTTATTATTTGAGCAGTATTCAATTACTGCTTCTTTCAGGCACTTTAGAGAAAACAAATTGAAACCCTCCTATATCGCACTCTGCCTGGTTCTTATAGAGAGCTTCACTTTGTACCTCAGTATAAAAATTGCATTTAGAAGGACCACATGCGAATGTCTAGTACTGTTTGATTTACACATAGTCCTGAACATATTCTGAAATCCAGTTTTTCGTGATTTTGCAATATACGATCATAATTATGAAAGATGTAACGAAAAATGGAAATGGATAAAAGATCCTTGGAACATGTGTGAAAAGTAACTGGATAGAACGATCTTATCGAGAAACATTATTTTTCAAATAAAAAGAAGGGGAGAAAAGGAAAACAAATAAATTTCAAATAAGCATAGCTTGACTAAAAATATTGTTTAAAATTTTGAATAAAATATCAAAATGTTGGTTATTCTTGATATGTGTTTTTGTTGCTTTAAACCTGCTGTTATGATGCATTTATGTTTGAAGTAACTAAGTCTTAAAAATTAATACGATTTCTAATTTACTTTTTCTTCAATTTTTGAAAAATCCTTTGTTTAGACGACATCCAGTAGTGTAAGAGAATAGTTTATGTATACATGGACATGTGTATTTGAAGTGGAAATATAATAACATTTCCCCGTCAGAATGTTGTGAAGAAAATAAGACCCCATTTTGTTTTGATGTTTAGATTTCGAATTCACCCAAAGGTTCCTTTCGCTTAAAAATATATCTCATATCGAAGATTTTTGAAAATATTCTGCTGATACTTTTCTTACTTTTCACAAAATTGAGGTTTCCACACTTCAGATATGATGATGTAAGACACATTTTTCTATTCTTAATTTTATAGATAAGTTTCTCAGTTCCAGTTAGGCTTTGCATTCATTGTTCAGTGATCACAAAATATTTGTAGTTAATTCAATTCAGTTTCGTAAAATACACTAGAGGGAACCGGGAAATAGTTCAGGTAAATATGGTTTAGTTTCCTTCTAATGTTTACGCCTCGAGTGAACAAAATATATACGAAAAACGGGTTGCTTGTAAAAAATCATGTTAATCATGATTAATGAAATAACTACTCGGATGTTAGATTTTTTCTCAGATTTTATATAAGTTGGAATTAGAAAGTGAAATTATAAAGAAACTTAGGTTTCTACTCCCTCAGGCAAAGTTAGCCTTAGAAGGATTTGGCTATTATTTTAGGTCATTTTTTATTATATAGCTCTTCAACTGTTTCGGATTTGTACATCTTTGACTTTGAAATATTCGGCTTTGAGCGTTCCTGGTGAAGGTAAATCCAGAAAAGCGCTTCGAACGCATTAAATTTATAACGTGTTGTTTTCATTTTTTAATCGTCTAACAAACATGAGAAAGGAGGTTGATTGTATTTTTTTCTTTTTTGCTTACTTTTGATTAGATAAGGCAAACTTTTATACAAAAAATAGGGCTTTTTTTAATTACGCTTTTTCGTGCATCTGCATTGTGGTACTATAATTCTATTTACTCCTCTCCTATCCCTACATATGTGTTTATCCATTATCGGGAGACAATAATGTTTAGTGCAAAAGACCTTATAGAAAATTATAAAGCAGACTTAGCTTTCGTAACTGTGTGTTTTTTTTATTTCAGCACATCATCAGAATAAGACTATTTTCCTTGTCAAGTCCTATTGGGTTAAGAATTCTGATCCTGTTTCTTTTTGATGTCCATTGTTTAGACGACTTCAGTAATGTAAACAAATAATATATATGTAGACATGCATAACAAAAAAGAGCCGAAAGATATCGAAGGATATTCAAACTGAAAAAACTAAGTGACAATGACATGACAAAAATAACAGTATACAAAACTAACATAGAAAACTAAGTCCTGAACAATACGAATCCCACCAAAAAAAACGGGGTGATCTCAGATAATCTGGACGGGTAAGCAGATACTGTTCCACATGTGGCTCCCTTCGTGTTACTCATGTAAGTACAAAGCCAATGATAAGTCTAATTCGGTAAGTCAAAGTCGAGGAAAATAGGACGGGATGGTGGTTGGAAAATTTCTGTTGTCGTTGATGAAACAGATATTTCAAAATGGTTAAGGTAGCAATACACAGTTAGGAAATAAAACTTGAAATTGACACTCATTAATTTTAACCACCCTCTTTCCGTTCTTATCTAACAAAGAAGGCTTTCTCTGTTTGTGTCATATTTGTGCACATGTAGGGAAACATCATCTTCGATGATTTGATGTCCAAAACTTAAAATGGCGAAATCTCTTTTCGGTCTCACCATCGCAACCAACCTGTGTTTATTTGATACAAAATATTGCACAAAAGGGGGGGGGGGGATTTCATTAAAGTTACTAAAACTTGATTCAAAGTAGAATTTGAGTGATGCCTTTTCTGAAACCATTGACATTATCTATCAATATGTCAAATAAAAATCAGATGTATTTCACCTCATTTTTTCATAAAATTTAGTTGAAAAAATCGAGCGTAAATAATTGCCGATTATGCTAACTATCTATCACCATTTGGCAGTTCAAAGTTGTATTTTTGAATACGATGCTGACGGGTTATTTCGTTCGTCCTGTAAGTCTTCATTTGACTATATGTTGACAAAATGAAAAGACGTATTTAACAAGCAAAATTACCGTAATTTGTATAATTCTAGACTAAAAAATATCTATAAATATCTAATGACTCATTTAAATAGAAATCGCATATACATGTAACTGTGTCAAAACATTGAGCTGTGAAATTAAGAAATTATAATTGTTTAAAAATTATAAATGTACAAAAAAGGTAAACAGCTATTTTTCATTTTTGTCATCACGAAAAATTTGCCACAACCCTATCTTATGCACTCAGAATATGTTTATACATATTTTAAGATAAAGAAATGCGTTATGTAACTAATTATGAAATCTTGCAAGGAAATTGTTACGGTTGACATAATTGAGTTTCTTTGTAATTAATTTTATTCTCGGACATTGTTTGGGGAAAATAAGGTTTTGTTTCCTTTTGATATTTTTGTTAAATAGATAACTTCTGTTTGTTTTTCCCATATTTTCAGGTACGTAGGAAGAAAAAGGTCACTCCATTTTTTTATGTAACAATCTGGAGAAAGAGGTTTGTTTGTTTTTGTCAGTTATTTTTGCTTCCAATTTTAGAATCTAAATTGAGTACTTTATTAAATGGCAAAATCAAAAGCTCAAACACATAAAACGAATGGAAAACAACTGTCATATACCTGTCTTGGTACAGGTATTTCCTTAAAAATGGTGGATTTAACCTGGATTTATAGCTTTGCTAAACCTCTTACTTTAACGACAGTCGCATAGAATTCGCACGACGTAACTAAGTCTTAATAAGTAATAAGATTTCTGATTTCCTTTTCTTTTATTTTTGAATGTCATTTGTTTAGATGCAAAAATGCGAAACCAAATTCTCAAGTGTGTATTGCTACCTAACCAACCTGGGATGGCAAACCTAAAATTTTAAACAAATTTCTTCACAGGAATGATATGGTATAAGAAAACGAGTTCAAATGCGAACAGCCCTTCAAGTACAAACAACTTGTGCGTAATATATCACATAATTTGTACGACGTTACAACATTACCGATTATACAAACTACTATTGGTGGCCTTCGGCTGTTATCTGCTCTTTGGTCGGGTTGTTGTCTCTTTGACATATTCCCCATTTCCATTCTCAATTTTACCTATCACCATTTGCGGTTAATAGTTGTACTTTTGAATACGATGCTGACCGGTTACTTCGTTCGTCCTGTAAGTCTGTTCAATTGACTTTATGTTGACAAAATGAACAGACTTATTAGACAAGCAAAATTACTGTAGTTTGTATAAATTAAGACTAAAACGAAAATATTTAATAACTTACATTTCGTCAGTGTGCGTGTTCACAATTTGAGGCAAATTGCATGTTCTATCCGTGAAATCAATCATCTTAAATAGTTTAAAACCCAGGTTGTTAAACTTGTCGAAAAAACATGTAAAAATATATAAGTAATTTGCATGCTTATTAAATCTTGTTCAATAAAAAAAATCGTGAAATGAAATTTGACTTATTTATTCATACCAACTTAGATGAATATTTAAATATTTGTTTGTTTTTGTTGTGATTAAGATTGTGACACGGTGCTGACTGCTGTAGTGGTAACGGTGAGTATACAAAATTGTGTCAATCGGAAATGATATAACTGACGAAAAAATGTGTTAAAGTGTACAGACGTATTACCGGCTATCAGTACAGCAGATAAATTGGTAACACAGATCCGCCGTAGTTTTTTTTTTTTTTTTTTTTGGGGGGGGGGGGGGGGGGGGAGGGGGATTTTTCAAGTATATCAAATAAAGATTTGCAATTTCTACTGTTTTTAGTACTTCCATACTTAATAATTTTGCAGCATAATTTGTTAATGTAATAGGTCATGTTTATTTTTAGATCGAAGTTGGAACTGCACTTAATAACAAAATTGAAACTGTTTATACCATTATCCAATCTCAATCCACTTTTTCAAGAGACCAAACACACCTTCTTTGTTGAAAAAATTCTGCCAATTACAGACTGGATGCAATAATTATGCACAGTGCTAATCACTGCAAATTTAAACATGTTAAACCAGTGACAACTACTTTGAAGGATAGGAAATTTTAATTTTTTATCAAAAATGTCCTTCCCCTGTTATTTTTTATACTTTAACCCACTGCATGCAAGATTCTCAACTACAAGAGGGCATTTTGACACATTCCCTATTTCCATTCTAAATTTTATCAAAGACTTTTCCCCTTCAAAACTAATATAAAAATACAGCTATCATATCCTATATTGCCTGTCACAAACTATAACATTTCTGCCGGTTGGCACTGTAAAAATAAGTAAAAAAGAAACGATATTTGCCAAAAATTTCCTATGCAAACAAAGGTCTTGATGTCATCAATTAAGGCAAGATCCTCCATCATAATTAAGTTTAATCGAAAACACCTCCCTTCGTATGTTATACTTTACCCCTCCTCTATCGCGGCTGAATTATCTTCCAATTATAAACACGTGTTGCATGCTATTTACAACTGAAAGTCTAAACCTCCCAATTGTCCCCATTCATATATAGTCCGGCTGACCATTGTATTACTGCTGACCTGAACATTGTCAACAACACATCTCTGCGAAATATGTTAACCAAAAGCCTAAACTAATGTAAACTTAAATCCATAAATTGGAAACACAAAACTCGGAAAAACCAATGGAGCCAGTCAAGGATCATGATAAATAACGACCTAAACATGACGATAAAGAAGACGTGGATACTCTTTTTTTAAATGAGTTAAAACTGTTTGATTGTTGCTTCAAATTAGAATAAAAGAATTGATGGGTCAATGAATACTCATGCAACATTTATCTCCAGAGTCCCAAATGTTGCTTAACACCTGCCTTACATTCGTGACCTTTGCTTAGAATGTCGTTGTCCCCACAGAAAAACCTCCGAACAAAATCGTTTCGGTATTACGTTACGAAAACTGCTTGATAACGGAATAAGGTATTGACAATTCAGTTGCAAACTTAACATTTATTCCCTTGACACTTACCAATGAGGAAATACTAACAATCATTGATCTGTTCTTATTCCTTTGAAATTTCTACCAAATATGAGACACTCGATCTTCCTTCGCTGAACTGGATACCAAAATTGCATAATTGTCCTTACAACAACCCTCATACTACTGGATTTGCCAATTGCTCCACGAAACCAATTTCCAAAGTATTTACAGCGGTAGATGAATATATAGCAGGAGACGCTCACCTGTCGATGCACCCGTTGTGCTAATTTTAAAGTCATGCAATTTCCTCAGTTGTTTATAATTGTAACTTTAATTTGTCGTCTTAAATGATTGATGAGATTTTATCATCGGTTAATTACTGTTGCCTTAAACCAAACAGAATGCTTTACTTGGATTATCTGTTATGCTTTCTTTTGAAGACATTTAATGTATTGTATGTTTCTTTGTTCCAGTTGGCCGAATTTTTTTCTCTTAATAGCCCAGTTGTATTGATTCATGTTAAGAATATAGATAAATTTTATAGGAATTTTTACTGCTGTTTTGTTGTTGCTAAAATGAATTTTATTAAGATGCCGGTTTTTTTAAATGTTATATTTTACATTTGCTTTCGATACTGTTACTTAAATGGGTTGTGTTTATAAATATTATCTGTGCTCCTCTTCTTTTCAAATTACATTCCTATTCATATTAGAAGGTCACCCTTTACAGGAGCTGTCATAATCTTTAATTTCAAGTTCTGATATAGAGAGAATGTCCTCTCATTTAATAAAAAAAAAAATGTTAGCCTTACAAATTCAGTTCAAAGATACAAATCAATGTAAAACAAAGCTTAGGGAATCGCTTGACGAGTCTTAGTGCGTTGGCAGGGTGCGTCTTTGTCAAATATATGGTACATATCCCCGCTAGCGTTGAAAGGCAATTACTGAGTATAATATATTTGTAATTAATTCGACATCATAACAATATTGTTAGTATATACAATTTTTTTTCGATCTTTCTGTAATCTCATGTGCTTTTTATGAAATTGAAACTGGTTCTTAAGGTATACGCATATGGATATATACTAGTATGTTTTCGTACCAAAGAGTTAACATTTCAGTCAATGTTAACCTCGATTTTCGACAAGGATACAAACAATATTTTGTTACTTTCGAAATATCCTCCTGAATTTATTGATGAAGTCATTTTTATTTATGAACGTTTCTGCACTTTTCAGAATTTAAAGGATCTAACATGTCATCAAGGACATGTGAGTCTTTGAAGTCTTATGATTATGCATGTCAGAAGTTTGGTACATTTGAGACTGTACGCTTGAGACGCAATCTCTACAATCTACAGGATATGATACGTAACGACGATCCATCACTTTGCCATATTAGTAGCGGTAGTGCAGTAGAGGGTTTGGACATGATAGGAAGTGACTTAGATATGATGGCTGTGATCAATGGAACTGTTGTATGTTTAAGCGAACGCGATGCAGAAAATGTTGCTGAAGAAACCAATATAAGAACTTTAATAATGGATATTGATAGTACAAACCCATGTTATGCATTGCTTCGTGTGCCGAAAAAAGTTACATTTCCAGAAAACATTCATTGTTTTCTGGAACATAGAGGTCAACATATATTTTATTCTAGTCAACTGTTTAAACTAAGTCAACTGGATGCAATGTCACATTCAGGAGATCGGTATAAAATTCATGGTCCTTGCGTAACCACAGAGGATGAAACAATTGATCAACTTTTTTGCTTTAGATGCAAATCCTGGCCTTCTCAAGCTCGGCCATGGATGTCAAGGTCGAGAATAAATCATTGGCCGTCACCTCAACTAATATCAAAAATTGTAAACTTTGGCGTTTTATTTGTGCCGATAGGTTGTAAAGGTTCGATTAATGAAGATATCGAGTGGAGAATGTCATTTTCGGTTGCAGAAAAGTTTTTGATATACTCTTTTAATCATACACAGTTATTGTGCTACGGGCTGATGAAACTGGTACTAAAAGATGTTGCTGATAAAAACGAATCGTTAAAGGGTATATTATGTTCTTATTTTCTAAAAACTTTATTGTTCTGGTTGTGTGAGGAATCAGATAAAGACATGTGGAAACCTGAAAATATATTATCGTGCTTCAGAGCATGTATTTGTAGACTGTTATATTGTGTACAGTATTCTATCCTGGTACACTATTTTATTCCCCAAAACAATTTTTTTGAATGTAGATTTAAAAAAGACGAACACATCCAAATGATCGGACTTCTGAAAGAAGTGCGTCATCACGGTTGGCAATGCTTCCGTGTTTCTGGGACATTTAGCGGTGATTTTCATACACTTTATAATCCTAACTATGATTCTAAGGTAATTCATCCAATGATCTGGTGTATGGTAGAGTCAATGGCAGATTATTTGGAGAATGACAAAAACAGTCTTGTGATAGTGAAAAAAATACTTCAATTTAGTCGGATAAAACTAGCCGTTAATTTAATTATGTTTCTTTGGGAAAAATCAAAAAATTTGAAAGTACAGCGAGACACAATTACGAAATATTATATAAATAATAAACTGCAATATACACATTTTAAACAACAGTTACGTTTACTAATCATTTCTAAACATAAGCAATGTCCTGATACAGGATGGATGTTTCTAGCATCTTTCTTCTACCGTCATAAGAGGTACCATATTGTATTAGAAATCATTTCATATGTTTTATCACGTTCGTTAAAGGTAGATCCATCCACTCTAGAAACTACAGTAAACATTGTCCACTTTGAAAAAATGTCAGCAATGCTTATTCTGCACATGTTAGTGTCTAACATCATGATTTTTGAAAATGGTTCTGCATTGATACCAGATGAACTGGACATTGAAGTGAGGAACAATTCATCATTATATTTGGCGGTTATCATATTTACTCATTTTTTAAAGTTTTTGTCTTATTACCACTTAGGAGACTTTACGTCGTGTATGGAGTCATTGAGGGGTCTAGAAAAATGCACATACAATCTTTACAGATATAAGGCATTGGGAAAAACACAAATTATATCTTCTTTCCTGTGTCTAGGAATAGCCCATGAGATGATAGGTCATGTAAATGAGGCACACGAATGCTTCAGTACTTGTGTTTCTTTTGGTGAATTGAACACTACAAAAGCTGCTTTGAGGTTGTCAAAACTGTAAAAATAACATTGGTAAAAAAACTTAATATATTGTATACTATGTATAGGTTTTCATAAAAAAAAATTTGTCAGACCATGTAATCTGGAAATGTTTAACACTTTCAAATATATATATATATATATATATTTTTATTTAATTAAGAAAATAACAGAAGAAGAAAATGCATTTATATTGTTGTATTAAAAATCGTTCATATTGTCTACATTGTTCATATTGTTCCTACCGTTTTCACTCCTCACGGAAGATATTCATGGTAAAAATATATACAAACTTTCAAAATAAACAATGTTAGTGTTAACGTCACGTTACAATCACAGTTCGCAACAAAGGAGGTAACGTTGTAATAGATTGTTACACAACCCTTATGTAGACGTTAAAATATTAGAATATGTCCGCTATTCAGAAAATAAAAAGTGAATAACAAAAAAAAAACCGAACTGCAAGGGAAATTCAAAACGGAAATTCCTTTACAAAATGGCAAAATCAAAAGCTCAAACACATCTTACATCGGACTTAAATTATCTGTTTAAATTCGGTTTATATTTATGTATGAAAAATGTCTTTTAGTTGATTCTCTGTGGTTCTGTTGTTCCATCAGCACACTGATCAAATTGGAATAGTTTGTATTTGATGGTGGTCCTGCTAGCACAAGTATCTAAGTGCCCACTTAGTGGTATTTGTCTATAATTCTGTACGCGAATTGGTTGTCGGTGAACAGTCATTCCCTTTCGAAGTGACATTTCCGTTTGACCTATGTAATTTTCTCCACAACCAGTACATGTCATTATGTATAGAAGGTTTATATATATCTTTATATATATATCTGTATTTAGACCCCTCTACCAAGAAATTTGTTTTGCATGCACACGTATAAAAATTGCGGTTTTTATCCAACGCAATCATAGGTTTGGACGTTGATTTCAATTTATACTTGTTTATATTTTTTCGTTTGGGCTTGTATTATATTTGCCTTCGGGTTTATATAATCCGTTCATCCATTTTCAATTCTTCAAAATTCAAGAGTCAATCCTAAATTGAGGTAAATTATATGGCCTTCCAAATACCGTTTCGATTCCTAACATCACTGAAGAGACATTAATTGTCGAAATCCGGATATGGTGTGCCAATATTTTGCACCTCATGTTTGCGGTATACCATCTTTTCCGCAAGTTTATTGTTTTCTGTTTGGTATTAAATTAATAATTAAGATCCATTTTGTTACATCTTGTGATCCGTTTATTTGGTAATTGCCATGGCAGTCAGCAGTGTTTAAGAAAACATCCGTTGTTCGATCAGCTAGTGAAATGCGTTTTGTTAAAATATACTTTTTCACTTTTTTGGTCCTTTGGAAAATGTTGTTTGTGCAGTATTTAGACCCCTCTACCAAGAAATTTGTTTTGCATGCACACGTATAAAAATTGCGGTTTTTATCCAACCCAATCATAGGTTTGAACGTTGTTTTCAATTTAGACTTGTTTATATTTTTTCGTTTGGGCTTGTACTATAAAATTGAGAATGGAAATGGGGAATGTGTCAAAGAGACAACAACCCGACCATAGAGCAGACCACAGCCGAAGGCCACCAATGGGTCTTCAATGCAGCCTTCGGGTTTATATAATCCGTTCATCCATTTTCGATTCTTCAAAATTCAAGAGTCAATCCTAAATTGAGGTAAATTATATGGCCTTCCAAATACCGTTTCGATTCCTAACATCACTGAAGAGACATTAATTGTCGAAATCCGGATATGGTGTGCCAATATTTTGCACCTCATGTTTGCGGTATACCATCTTTTCCGCAAGTTTATTGTTTTCTGTTTGGTATTAAATTAATAATTAAGATCCATTTTGTTACATCTGGTGATCCGTTTATTTGGTAATTGCCATGGCAGTCAGCAGTGTTTAAGAAAACATCCGTTGTTCGATCAGCTAGTGAAATGCGTTTTGTTAAAATATACTTTTTCACTTTTTTGGTCCTTTGGAAAATGTTGTTTGTGCAGTATTTAGACCCCTCTACCAAGAAATTTGTTTTGCATGCACACGTATAAAAATTGCGGTTTTTATCCAACCCAATCATAGGTTTGAACGTTGTTTTCAATTTAGACTTGTTTATATTTTTTCGTTTGGGCTTGTACTATAAAATTGAGAATGGAAATGGGGAATGTGTCAAAGAGACAACAACCCGACCATAGAGCAGACAACAGCCGAAGGCCACCAATGGGTCTTCAATGCAGCCTTCGGGTTTATATAATCCGTTCATCCATTTTCGACTCTTCAAAATTCAAGAGTCAATCCTAAATTGAGGTAAATTATATGGCCTTCCAAATACCGTTTCGATTCCTAACACCACCGAAGAGACATTAATTGTCGAAATCCGGATATGGTGTACCAACTTTTTGCACCTCATGTTTGCGGTATACCATCTTTTCCGCAAGTTTATTGTTTTCTGTTTGGTATCACTACAAACCAGTAAAAGTCTGAAATGGCCTATATCTCTACTCGACTGTACTGATGTTTACTCGACCAGTCTGAATTGGTCTTAAATTTACTTGATAATACTCGACTGTAGTCTGAACCATACTTAACAGTCTGAACTTGTACTCGACCCTTCCTCGACCAGTACTTAACCATTTTATACGCGTCTGAACCATGCTCGACCAAGTCTGAACCATACTCGACCTAGTCTGAACCATACTCGACCTAGTCTGAACCATACTCGACCAAGTCTTAACCAACCTAGACCTATTTTTTGTATCTATCTATTGTATTTCATCAATTTAGGAACTGTTTTTAACAACAGCTTTTTCCCCTGGCTAGAAATTTGAACAACAATTTAAAATTAACAATGTATTCAATATAGCATTGAAACCAAAATTTCACAATAAAAATAATATAACTTCATCACCATATTCATCAACACTTATATACATACATATATATCACCTTTAAAATAAAAATAAAACAAGCTGATCAAATAATCTCAAAACTGAATTGTGACTAATATTTTCAATGTTATTCAAAATTTTTTGAATGTTTCAGATATATTTTATGGTAACTGGACAATTTTCACCATTAACTTAAGTCTCGTATAGATTTATGGTGTCAGTTGAGTTTAGTTAATAATGCAGTGAACATTTTTTTTTATCAAAATATATATCAAATAGGTAAACGGACAGAAAGTCACAGGACAAAAAGTCACAGGACATAAAGTCACAAATTTGATAGGACAAAAAGTCACAAATAATTTGTTGACAATTGTTTGAATGTTTAAGAGAAAGATCTTGAAATATTTTCTTTTTATTACATATATTCATTTTTAAGTTTAGGAAATTGTTCATAAGCCTTGATAAATGAAAATTTATTAAATTTTAATCATGAAAAGGATATATTTCTTGGCACAATGAAGCCATTTAAGTACCTAGCCACTTTAACATTTTGTTTTCATAGCAATTATTTGATCATTATTGATATTTATTGAATAAATTTTAAATACAAAGTTGCTTCATATATAATAGTTCAAGAAAAAACAAAAATTTTATTTTTTAAATTAGTGTTTTCTTGTTTAAAGAAAAATAATCTCAAAACTGAATTGCGACTTTTTGTCCTGTGACTTTCTGTCCTACATTCATAAAATAGCATATAAAGCAACTTAATAAATTTAAAAAATGACACCTTTGTTTTGTTAAACCAAGAATTTAATATAATCATGATAATAGAACTTCCATAGTAATCCTGTGATAAACTTTTAAAAAAGGAAATGTGTTCCAAAGTTACAGTAAAAATTTATTTCAATTAAATTTAAATAATTTTTGTCAAAATTAAAGACATGACATACAAGAAGCACTTTAATAAGGTTTAATTACCTCAGTACATGTGTGTTTTGCAGGTAAATAGAAAGTTCTATTTTTCTTAAACTCGTGTATTACTTATCTAGTGAATTCAAAAGGCCTTGCGATTTAAGTTTCACAGGATGTTGCAATTTTGAATGAGTGTTATTTAGAATTTGATACTCTCTGACCAGGTGTGATCTTTTTCATGAGTTTGCCCCAAGCAGGAGGTATTACTTTATACTTCACCACTAATCAGAAGAACAATTTTATTAATTTCTTTAATTTTTATCCCTTTTTGATATATATTGTATATAATATATCCCAAATTATAATAATAGATATATTTCTAAAATAAGGTTAAACAATTTAAGTGATTTTGTTGGCTGTTATTACCTCATTAAAAAGATAATTATATAACTATTGTACATTTTTTGTATGTAACCATGAAACCTATGTAGTTTGTATTTAGGAATTTAGGAAAATTAATTTAAAAAAAAACACATGCCAAACAAGAAGCACCTTAATAAGCTTTAATTACCCTCGGTATAGGTGTGGTTTTTAGGCAAAAGAAAATCTTTTTTTTAACAAAACTCTAAAACTTTAAAATTAATATAATCAAATTATTATTAAAGATAATTTGATTTAACTATCTCTATTCGATAAATCTGAGAATCATGTAAGAATGTAAAAATCTGTTTTTATAATATATCTTTATTTTATTGTGTCTGTTGTCATGTCAGTTAAAAAGAAATTTATTTTATCAGTTAAAATTTAGAAAAGTAGAGGTTATTTGGTCCAGTATGGTTCAGACTGGTCAATATTGTTCAGACCTTTGGTCGAGTATGGTTAAGACTGGAAAAAATAGGTCGAGTACAGGTCGAGAATGGGTTAAGACTGTTTCAGACTGGTCGAGTAATAGTTCAGACTATTTTCAATGGCAAAGATAAAGGTCAAGTACAAATCAGTACAGTCGAGTATGGTTAAGACTGGGGTCGAGTAATGTCGAGTAAAATTCAGACCAATTCAGACTGGTCGAGTAAAATCCGTACAGTCGAGTACAGATATAGGCCATTTCAGACTTTTACTTGTTTGTAGTGTATTAAATTAATAGTTAAGATCCATTTTGTTACATCTGGTGATCCGTTTATTTTGGCAATCGCCATGGCAGTCAGCAGTGTTTACGAACATCCGTTGTTCGACCAGCTAGTCAAATGCGTTTTGTTAAAATATACTTTTTCACTTTTTTGGTCTCTTCAAAAATGTTGTTTGTGCTGTATTTAGACACTTCTACCAAGAAATTTGTTTTGCATGCACACGTATAAAACTGCAGTTTTTATTCAACGCAACCATAGGTTTGAACGTTGTTTTCAA